AAAAAAAAAAAAAAAAAAAAAAAAAAAAAAAAAAAAAAAAAAAAAAAAAAAAAAAAAAAAAAAAAAAAACTGATGGCAATTGCCAAATTCTAGCCATCAGCCTTTCGCGTTAATGTGCCTTGTTCGCTGAAAAGGACGGTCGAAAATAATCAGTAGAAACGAAGTCAATGCAACATCACGGCATATACAACCCTGTATCTGTTTTCAATACAGAAGCGAGAGAGAGAATCTAACAGCTCATAGACATTCATAATTCGTAGTTCCTTTTCGAAGATCGATCAAGATGCCCGTACTCCCCGTATAAAGCAAAAAAAGAGTGCAGCACATGTTCAAAAAGATCAACGGACCCTTAGATGTCGCTAATTTTCGCCAGAACCCCTAAACGAAATTCAGAAAAGAAACAGAAAGACTCAACCGACACACGGACTAAAGAGCCGGATTCTCACGGACAACCTGTTTCACACGTCGTTCATAGGCCGGGCGGTCCTTCTTAAAAAGGTTGTATGCATCGGCCTGGGCGGGAGATTCAGGGTTCGGGTCGTCCAGCAGATCCTGGATACCGAGGAGGATTTGCTTGATCGTGATAGCGGGTTTCCAGGCCTCTTCTTCGTTCAGGATCGAGAGACAGACGGTGCCAGAGGGGTACACGTTAGGGTGAAAGAGCGGAGGGACGAATTTGCCTATTGTATTGCACTCTGTTAGGTATGTTCTCTTTTTATACATTTCGCTTCAAACGAGATAGGGAAACGTACACTTCGGAGGCTTCGTAGGGTACTCTGTAAATGAAGAATGAAAGTCAGACCAATTTCTCACTCGATACATAAAGCCAACTCACCATCCGGAAACGTAACATCCAACTTGAACAGACCACCATCCCACAGAGTCTGGGGCTTTCCTGGGATACCGCATTCCCAGCGTTTTAAATCCAAAACCCCGTTGGGGTTGCGATAGGGTCGGGCGTAGAACCCAAAAGGATGGTCACGTCTCCATTGCTTTCTGTCATTGTCGCGCAATCAGTATTTTTCCTGTGCTGTTGGTCCACGCGCATAAGGCATCTCGCCGGGGGGAGGGGAGCATTGGCTGACGTACCTCTCCTCCGTGAGACGGTTCTGGCAGAGCGACATCGTGTAAAAAGCGGTCGATCAGGTCGCGATGTCGTAATATGAGTGGCGATTATAAGCAGAGGGACGGTGTAGAGAGTAGTAAAGAGGTGTATAAATTAAGGATAGAAAAGAGGAGCTTACTGCGCAGAGAAGAGAGAGAAAGAGAGATTAGAGTAGGTTGTTGCAGCAGTGAAGGAATCAGTTGTTCCTGGTCTAGTGCCCCACAGCCAATCACCTCCACAGCTGATACAGATTGGTCACATGACATACAGGACTTCGTGATTTGAACATTGACTAGTGACACACTCCAAACAAGTATCTATATTTGTTTGGATTGTCTCTTTTACTGGCATCTTTCTTTGTGTGTTGCAATTACAGCCAGAGTGTGATCTTGACATCAAAGAGTTGGTACAGGGATCTATATAAAGATTCCGGCTGTAGAGAGGAACGTTCCATGTCCTGATTCTGGAAATCATCGTTTAGCGTGTCAAATATGTATGAGGTAAATTCCACCAAAGAGAATTGGCCTACAAAGAATGGAATGTAGGAGTATAAAAACATTCTATTACCAATTAAAAATCTCTTACCCTTCGATAATCCCAATTCTTTGCTTCTAAATTCTTATCACTATACCCCCAACGAGACTAGGGAAGGACAAAAAGAATAGACATTCGCCATGTGCCATCAAATTACTTGGTACCATGCCGTCTGCTACCATCAGGACTCCGCCTACAATCTTCTCATCTCATGCAGACAGGCCTTGAAGGTAGGGTACGAATGCTACAGACCTGAATGCATCCTCATCCCTGTGTTCGGGGCATGTATGTCCTGCAAGCATGAAGAGAGTCTTGCAAAGGGGAAACTTAGCCTGATGCGGGCTTGCGCAGATGAGAGTTCGAGACCACAGGCCCTGGGCACTTTTTCGAGCACTCTTTCTAACATGGAATTAGAGCTAGAACTGCAGCATTCTGTCGGAGATGATAGTGGCATTTTCCTCAATGGCGATGACGAAGACGTGGTGGGTTTCGACGAAAATAATCAAACGGATGAATTGGAGTTGTTTGATTTAGTCACGTTTTGAGGTTGAGGTAACCGGTGTCTCCCTTTATCCTTTCTGATGAACGTCTTTTCTTGTTTTATTATCTGCATTTGTTTGGTTTTGCTGATTTGACCTTGACTAGTTAATTTGTGTTGGAACAGGTTTTCCAAGTGAAGGTCCGGTTTTGGCGCATTTTGGAAAATGTATTTTTATTCAGACCGAAAGTAAGTGTATGTTCCTGTTTAGACATGAGTCTCCTTCAATTATCATTGACCATCGTATATCCCCTGCTCAAACTTGACATTATCGAAGAATCGAACCGTGATCGGGTTTCCGTTGAATATCCGTCCTTCGAGTGCGTTCACAGCCTAAGATATGGTCAGCGTAATTCCGTACTGATGTCTGTAGAAATGAAATTCACCCGTAGAGCTGATAATTGGTTGGTGAATTTGACGAAAACAGGCACTGGAGGCTGCGAATCACGAGGTATGAAAACTCGCTCAACATTGCCATACTGCACAGGAATTAGAAAGGCCGACAACCAAGTGGATTCGATAAGCCAACCTTCTGTGAGCATTCTTCCCCAATCTCCTGGATCAAGTTTCCACCTTCCAACTCTGCATCCAGGTCTAAACCATTGAGCATGCCCTTCAGAACGATAACCTCACTCATCCGACCAAACTTGCCCTCGTCTTCTGCTGCCTTCTTCTTGCCACCGATAATCTTCCCTCGACCTGCCGGAGTAACAAAACCACCGCCTTCGGAATCTGGTCGCTTCTTTTGCTTCTCAACCTTTACTTGCAGCGGATTGACAATGCCAGACCCAGTTGCACCAAGACCGGAGCCCTTTGTCCAGCCATACTTTGCCAGCAACCGCTCAGCAAAACCTTTTTGCCCGGGACGCAACGAGCGCTCGTCATTGCCATCTCTCTCGCCTTCGCTTCCATATTCAGTAGGCTTCTCCTTGGCAAAGACTTCTTCAAGTTCCGCTTCCGATGCAGGGATGTCTTCTGGAGGTGGTGGGAGGATATAACGGACTGGCGCACGAGAAATAGTTGCTGAAGATGGCTGTATTGTGTCTATAGCTCGGCCCGGAAGTGGTGGTGGCGTAGTTCCCGCCGGGGCCTGCGATCCAGCAAACATTTGAAGGCGCCTGGCATAAGCATCGTCCCCGGTGGAATCGTCTGGAACTGGGGCAGGCGGCGGAGGTTGCGCGTCATCTGGCATGCCTGCTGTCATTTGTGCACGTCGAGCAAAACCATATTCACCTGAGAGATCATCGGGAAGCGACACGGACGGCTCTGGCGGAATGTCGTTGAGGTTTGGAGGCGGCGCGAAGCTGTTTGGAGGAGCAAATTGCCCTAGAATGAATTTAGCAAATTTGTACTTCATCCATCTAGCATAATACATACGGTTCATTGGCCGGCGCCCATCGCTGCTATACGAATCTCTGCTGGGCGAGCGCGCCATGCGATGTGCATAGAGACGGTCTTTCCATTCTCGAACCTCGGCAATCTGCTCGTCGCTATGCTTGTATTCCTCGTAATTATTTGGCCTAGTCGGGTCGTAGATATCGTCCCAGTTCTGTACAAATTCCTGCGCTTCGCGGTTCTTCTTGCGCTTCTTGCGGCCGCCTCGTTGTCTCTTTTCTCCCGCGTAGAAGCCATTAACATCGTCATCGTCGGCGGCCCAGTCTGCCAGAGTGGTCATTACTGGCGGAGCAGGCGCAGATGGAGTAGTAACCGCAGCAACAGCCTTGGGTAATGTCGGTTTGGGCTTCGGTTTCTGCGCTGATAACTGGGGTCTCTTGGTGGGTTGGAATCGGAGAGCAGCTGAAAAGGCAAAGTGGGAGGCAAGTGAGCAATCAGCATGTTCAACAACTTTGATATTATGACGCAAGGGAAATATTCAAGAGCAGGGTAGGAAAGCTACCAGGATTCAACTGCTGCTTTTTAGCAGCTTCATCTGACTGCGCATTGTCTTCAGAGCTTTGCTTAAAAACGACGGGCGCGCGCGAGATTGTCCCCGGAGCCGGGGATTCGGCAGAGGGGTCAAGTAAATTCGCATAGAGTGACAAGCCCGGCTTAGATGGTGTTTGATCGGAGGCCATGTTGGCAATCGGGGGTCAAAAGAGGGACAGTTACCGAGGTGGTTGACGGAGTCTCGTCGACTCGATGCTGCTTCGTCGATCCATTTGTTATGTTTGCTACGTTTGCTCTGTTTAGATATCTGATTACTAACTGATAACGGCTAACTAATCTTAGCCGAGCCGATAATTACATCATTACTTAGTTAGGGCGCTTAGACGGAAAAGGATCCGGGGTACGGACGGGAGAGAGGAGATGTTTCTAGGCATCATATTTGGTGCGGTTTCAAATTAAACCATTTTCTTCTGTTATATATTATTTTCACTATTGTATATACCCTGCTCTTCCTCAGTTGTACATATTACGGATAACAAGCCTCTTGTACTCCATACCCCAGCCATGGCTACTACCCTTGCCCGTTCGTTCTCGTCCGAGAACAGCCGTCTTGCGGTCCTCGTTCCGAATAAGCCCAACCCCTTGGCCATCTCCTACCAGCAGCTTCACTCGCACGTCGCCAGTTTCCAGGCCAAGCTAGCGAAACTGGGAGTCTCTCATGGAGCTGCTGTTTCCATAGCCCTAGTGAACTCATACGAGTTCGTCGTGTCGTTCCTGGCGGTTTCATGGCAACGAGGTATTGCTGCGCCTCTCAACCCGGCATACAAAGGGGAGGAATTTGAATTTTACATTGATGATCTCAGCTCGACGCTAGTGTTGATTCCGCGGGGCGCATATGAACAGTATGGTCCGGCTGTGCAAGCGGGTCGCAAGTATCAGGCTGCGATTGCGGAATGCTACTGGGATGGGGAAGAGGTGGTTTTGGATGTGAAGGAAGAGGGCAAGTTGGCTGGAAGCCTAGGTCTTCAGGTGGAAGAAGCGCAGCCAGATGATATCGCTTTGGTTTTGCATACAAGTGGAACAACTGGCAGACCCAAAGCTGTATGTCTTTACGAACGATTATATCAATATGCTTGCTGACATTGTAATAGGTTCCTCTGACACATAATAACTTGACAACTACCATGAGTGGGTGATTTTTCGAGACAACAGTGTTCTATTGGTGGCTGACAGCGCGCAGAAAACATAAAAGCTACGTACGAGTTAACCCCTGAAGACCGCACATACTTGGTGATGCCTCTCTTCCATGTCCATGGACTTCTGGCTGCGTTTCTGGCTCCTCTCTACGCTGGGGGATCAGTCATTGTGCCTCAGAAATTCTCTGCTTCGGAGTTCTGGGCAGACTTTGTCAACTATCAAGCCAACTGGTACACCGCGGTGCCGACGATCCATCAAATTCTACTCAAAACCCCGTTGCCTAACCCTATTCCGAGCATCCGCTTCATCCGCTCATGCTCCTCGCCGTTATCGCCAAAGACTTTCCAAGACCTGGAAAAGACATTCAAAGCCCCTGTTCTCGAAGCCTACGCGATGACCGAGGCCGCACACCAGATGACCAGCAATCCGCTCCCACCTGGTAAGCGACAACCCGGTAGCGTTGGCATTGGAACAGGTGTCGAGGTGCGGATCCTAGATGGTGCCGACAAGGAGGTTTCTCAAGGTTCGCCGGGAGAGATCTGCATCCGCGGCGAGAACGTGACCAAGGGTTACCTGAACAACCCATCAGCCAACGAGTCATCCTTCACCAGGGACGGATTCTTCCGTACTGGTGACCAGGGTATCAAGGACCCAGCTGGGTATGTGATCATCACCGGCCGTATCAAGGAACTCATCAACAAGGGCGGAGAAAAGATCAGTCCTATAGAAATCGACAATACGCTTCTCCATCACCCCAAGGTGGCCGAGGCCGTCAGCTTCGCCATTCCCGATGAGGGTCACTATGGCGAAGATATTGGTGCAGCAGTTGTTTTGAAGGGCGAAGGTGTGACCGATCAAGAGTTGAAGTCATGGGTGGGCGATAAGCTGGCTAAGTTCAAGGTGCCGAGACACGTACGTGCCCCTCTTCGAGGACGCTTAGATCAGGTTGATACTGACATGAATAGATTTTTATCGTGTCACAAATCCCCAAGACAGCCACTGGAAAGATCCAGCGACGTAAAGTGGCCGAGGCAATGCTCAAGCTAAAGGCGAAGCTATGAACGCTCCACCTTGCATTCTATATTCTGCCTTTATATTAGTTCCGCATTTATTTAGATGGTGTGCAAAGTACGAGAATGTACTACGCTTCCAGTTTCCATATCTATAAATACGGTTCAATGACGTTAGACCGCTCCTGTGGCATTTCTAAGCGCTCCATACCAAAACCATCCCCAATTCGGAGAATTTAGATCTCTAGTATCCCCAGCGCCTCCACTTGTCAGATTTATAATTCATAGGTCTTGGAACTAGATAAAGCTCCCCTCTTTCCTCTCTACAATAAAATTAATCCCTCCCATACACTCACAAATACACTCACACATAGTTCTTCGGCACCAAAAACAACAATGAAAGCAATCCAAATCCACGCCTACAACGAACCCTACAAAGTCCACAATGACATCCCAATCCCATCCCCAAAACCCCACCAAGTCCTCGTTCACATCAAAGCTGCAGGTTTCTGCCACACAGACCTGATGGCGCTGAACGGCGAGTTCGGCACAAAACTCCCATTTATCGGGTCTCATGAGCCGGCGGGGGTTGTTGTGGACGTTGGAAAGGATGTGGAAGGGTTTGGGAAGGGGGATCGTGTCGGGTGTATTAATTTTGATAGTGTTTGTGGTATGCTCTCTTTCTTTTGTCTTTATGTTATGGTTGAAGGAGCGATAGCTGATTGATAGGTACAGGGAAGTGTCCAGACTGCAAAGCTGGTCTGCCTATATACTGCGATAACCCGTTGATGAAAGGTATAACGACTGATGGTGCTTGGGCGGAGTATATGGTTGCGTGGGTCTCATTCTCGCCCATCATTATTGAACAAACCATTAACGATGCACAGCGACGCCCGTTTTATGGTCAAAATCCCAGATGACATGGACTTCAAAATTGCGGCTCCGCTGATGTGCGCGGGAATCAGTATCTACGGTGGTATTGTACGCGCAGAGGTGCCCAAGGGCGGGTCGATTGGTATTGTGGGAGTTGGCGGATTGGGCCACATTGGGACGCAAGTTGCTAAATGCATGGTATGCCTCCCTCCGTTATCCCTCTTATATCCTATGCTCCGAGCACTAAGTAACGTATCTGATAGGGCTACAAAGTCGCAGCAATCGACGCCAAAAAACCCGCCCTCCATTCCGTAGCATCCTATACCCACAAACCGGACGCTCTAATCCTCTCTAGCGATCCAGTCGAAATCTCGCTCTCAGAAATCAACAAGGTCACCACCAACGAATACGGCTACCCGGGTCTCGATGCCACAGTCCTCGCAACAGACCACCCCGCCGCATTTGAAATGGCCGCAGCGCTTACCCGCAAACACGGGACGATGGTGCTACTCGGACAGCCTGAGAAAGGGATTGCGATGTCGTATCTCACTACAATCTATAAGGATATTAAGTTGGTGGGATCTTTGGTTGCGGATACGAAGCAGGCAGAGGAATTAGTGAAATTGGTGCATAAAAATGGGTTACACGTTGATGTCAAAGAGTGGAAGATGGGAGAGGCCGAGGAGATGAGACAGGCGTATTTGAAGGGGACGACGAGTGGGAAGAATGTTATAGTTATTGACTAGCTGCCTCATTTCTGGTTCAGTGATGCGTATTGAATTACAGCGGAAGTCTCACGGCCGATTTGAACTAAAAAAAAAAATATTAGCCACTGTTCCGCATCTCAGAGAAAAAGACGTACCGGGATAATCTGCACATTCTCAATATCCCACACGCCATTGCGCGTGTAAACATCGTTCTCCAACAGTTTTCTTGCCTCCTCTTCATTTTCAGCGAGCAGCATCATAGCACTGCCCTTGAACGAAGGTGTTTCGCCTTCCTTAGGGTGCGAGTCGTTGAACATCGCTCCTACTTTTTATCAGCCTTCTCCTCAGATAATAGATAGATAGTGTAGATGAGTAGGAGAGAGGAAGAATGAACGCACCTCCGAGAACCAGAGAACCCTCACTGACGAGTTTCGTGGCGCCTTCGAGGTGGTTTCTGATTTTGTTAGTCGTCATGTTACAAGTTCGATACATGGGTTTGTGGTGTAAACATACCCCCGGACTTCCAAGCGCTTATCGATGACACCCGGCTTGTCGGGGCAGATGCAGAGGAATTCTTTCTTTGCAGGGCCGGACATGTTGTTAGGATATAGAAATAGTAGTAAGTGGTTGAAGCTGATCAGTTTGAGATTGTGAAAGAGGTGAGGTCGTGGGGAAGTGGGGGAGGGATGATAGTGGGGAACAAAGTGGCACAGTTAAGCTACACCATAGCACACTTCGTCAAGATAATTGTATCGGTTATGTATACAAGAAGAAAAAAAAAAAAAACGCCAAATATTGCTCCTCTTTCTCTAGATATTTAAGCGCATCCCGGTTATTTGTTCCACGCCTCAGACTATGAGCAACATTCAGCCCATGGCAGATAGCAGGTCAATAGGACAGAAACAGAGCCACCTCTGTTATATCACAATAAAAATAAAAGTTACCCATCAAAAGAGACTCCGCGGGCTTCAATGATATATCACGAGAGAAAAGGTCAGCTCAACACTTCAACCATTATAATTCTCTCAAAAACCGCTAAACGACATCGTTTTCCCCCGTAGCGCCAGGAAACAAAACAGATACATCCCGAGGATGCAACATGAAGAAGACTTAATTATCTCATTCATAAGGTTTGTCTCAAACATCCTTCCAAAAAGAAAAAAGAGAAAAAGAAAAAAAAAAAAAAAAAAAAAAAAAAAAAA